TTTTTTTTTTTTTTTTGAACAAGTCTTTCATACTATCAGAGCGAATCAGTAACCAAATCGGAGCATGGTTTTATATTTGGTTCACTTGAGTACTTTTGAGACTGTTTACTCATTTGAGTATAATCTCAATTGATGTGTCTGCCAGTATCTTTGATAGTACACACAATCAAATATGTATACCTAACAGCTGGAATACATTATAGTACACACGCATCAAATATGTTCAACTTAATCTTGTGAATGTCACCTATACAATTTGTTTTCAACGCTATTCAATTCTTCCATTCTTTGGCAGGGATAAATGAAACAGCTTTGTCAGAGCTTCTGTCTGGAGCAAATAATTTGAGGAGTCTGTGTCTGCGGGAGATTCAACTTGTTGACAATGCTCTTTATTGTTTTTCAGGATCCTTCTTGGAGATGCTTGATGTTTCTGATACAAAGGTGCTGAGACAGTCTTAAGGGAAATTTCGTGTCTGTTTATAGAAAGGATTCCTATAAAACATTCGCTTTTTAGCCCCTGTTTGGTACCCATTAAAATTTTCATTCTCATTATTCTTCTCATTTTTAACCACACATTCTTCATTAAAATAATATTTTCCATCACATTAATAACTTTTCCTTCTTTTTCAACCACACATTCTCCATCAATCTACTATTCCAAAATACATTCTTCCAAAATAATATCCATCAAACACACCCTTATCATGGAATTCGAATAAATCACTTTTCCTAAGATCTTTTATGAATGAAGCAATTGGAAACTCGAACTGAAGATTGCACATAGAGTTTGAACTTCTGTTTCACAACTTGCTTTCACACGTCAAATGTAAATCAAATAATCTGAAAATCTTTGAAGCTTTTTGGACTAGGCTAACTGAAAAAATAGGCTGCTAGATCTTTTTTTTTGGATGTTGACATGTTAACCTTTCAAAAGAGATGTATCTTTGTCAGATACATAATTTTTCTGCTTGAGTTGTAAGAACTTGATGTGGTTCCATTAGTTTCATATATCAATATCCATCTGGAATTGCATGTATCTGTCAATTTCTTGAGGGCATGTCTTGGAAGAGAAGTCCCCATGTGTACATTAAGTCCTGAACTCAAGATTCGAATCTTTGTGGGTTAAATTATTTTTATTTCCCACTTGCATGGTCTTTCTAGGATAATGTTAGGTTGTGCACGAGGCTTAATCCCCATGTTCAGGAATTCAGTTATTAACAATGCATGACTGACCTCCATTATACTTCAATTGGGATTTGATAGCATAACGGATGCATATGCTTGGTGTTTAAAAGAGAGATTATTTACTGTTTACTTTTCTCTCGTTATAACCAATCTTGAGTTGTACTGAATAAATAACATGTATCAAGCTAACCCATAAATAATGTGCTTCATATATTTCAGGTTTCTGCTGCTGCTTTGGCATATGTTATTCATAGAAATCCCAATCTAAAATGTTTGAAAGCAAGAGACTGTAGGCATTTGCTACTAAAGGAAAGTAAGACTGAAGAGAGAAACTTGCCTGCTTTATTGCATACTCCAAAAGAGTGGTACTCTGAGCTTGGCAAGTCCTGCAAATTGGAGGAGATTCAACTTGGATGGGGTTTTTCATTTCTTTATATGGAAGCTCTTAAACCGGCATTTAGAACATTAAGAACAATAGCTGTTGGTTTAGGTGGATCCTTGGGCCAAGATGGGCTGACGCAGTTACCCGATATCTGTCCTTCGATTGAGACTTTGGTTCTATATTTTCAGGTAATGATTGTTTAGAAGATATAATTAATGTCATTCGTAGCAAATTATCTGATGATAATAATTGATGAGTGTTGGTAAGAAGGTTTGCATAAAAATGTTCAAGATTTAGGTTGTATATTTTTTCTCGACCAGCAAGAGTGAAATAACAGTGGAACTAAAATGGTAAGAGAATACAAATATAATACTCATAGGAACTAGGTCTCGGCATTTTCTGGTTAGCTCATTGGTACTCTATCTCTCATAATCCTTTTATCTCCCAGCAGCAAAAGGCAACTATAAACCATATGTTTCTGATGATGTTGGAAGCTTTGGTGGTCTCCTGAACACTTAAGACTACAATTTATGGAGCTTTTTTTGTGGTCGTTTTTAGTTATACTATATTAACTGATGCTTGAAGCCATGCACTAATACATTGTCTGATGTTAACAGGTGATAACCGATTCTGCTATAATGCATGTTATGAAAACCTTGTTGCAGTTGCAAGTCTTGGCTCTATGCTATTGCATTGGTGAGATTTCATCAGTAAGCTTTAAGTTCATGATGCCGAATTTGAAGAACCTGAGACTTGAAAGAGTAACACCATGGATGACAAATGAAGATTTGGTTAATCTGACACAGAATTGTCCCAAGTTAGTCGAGCTTTCGTTGACAGGATGCACATTGCTTAATTCAGGCGAGTAATTTCTACCTGATAACCATTCTGTAGAAATTTCAATGACACTGAATGCAATTTTCGTGCAATATGACTCTAATAAGAATTCTTATGCTTTGAGTTTTATAAGCTGCTGTATACTCGAGCATTAATGTTCTTTTACCGTTCTTTATTCTATACACACAACCTTTTGTGTGGGAATGACTCAAGAGCCAAGTGATTTGAATACTTGCTAAAATAATAATAATAAAAACTTTTCCTTTCCCCTGTTATGTTATTTTCAGAATCCCAAGATATTATTTCAAGTGGTTGGCCAGGATTGATATCTATTCATCTTGAGGTTTGCTGTCACCATTTTCTCGAGCTTGTTTTTGTGTTTGTTTTTTCAAGTATGTGTAGATCTTATGTTTGCCACCAACTTTGTAAGAGGAGGATAAAGACTGAAAATACTATTATCTGATAGTAAATTACGCATTCGATGATTATTCTTATGAGTTTAGATTTCAATTGTTATTGTCCCCTAGTTTAATTTTACTGATTATGGTTTCTTCTAGGGACATGGGTACCATCCCTTATGAGTACACCTGCAAAATAAAAAAATAGCTCTTCATTTTGTTTTACGAGCTGCATACACCTTAGCAGATGACCTAAACAATATAACAATTTTATGTAACCCAATTCCTGACTAGGGGCAGATGTTCCACCTTTTATTTTTTTTTTCCTTATTTTTGTAACCTCTTGCTGAATCTCAAAAATTTTCTTCCAACCGTAGAGGATGGACAAAGTAACAATTACCAAATTTATATAAAAAAATAAATAAGTAAAATAAAATAAAAAGTCACGTCTACACTTGAGGGGGCATGTTGAAGATAATATTAAATGATATAACTGTGACCTTATCCAATAGCTTAAGCATTTAGATCAAGTGGTTCGACATGGTGTCAAAGCAAGTAAAGGCCTTGAGTTCAAGTCTCGCCTCCACCCATTTATATGAAATTATGAATTGTACACATGTTAGGTTTTGATAGGTAATAATAAATCTTGTCTCACGTGTTTTCGATGGTAAATAAATGATATAAATGTGGCCTATCTAACAGTTTAAACTATTAGATCAAGTAGTTCAACATTAATGATTACTGCCTTAATTTTTCAACTGGAGTTGCCACCTTTTATATATAGAAGTTTTCTGTAACCTCTTTAAAAATTCCAAAATGTGAGAAGAATTGTTTTGTAAGTTCAAAAGCAACAAAAGATTTGAAGTTTTCTGAACGTGCATGTGAGGTTCTTCAATTACAAGAGAAGTTCACAAGGAGAGATGGTCCATAATTTGATCAAGAACGAACCATTTTTTTCTGTGCCACTCCTTTTTCCAGTGAGCACTCACGTACCATCAAAGACTTAGAAGCAAAATGGATCAAAAGAAAGAGGAGGTAACTTGTTAAAATCATGAAGTTAATAAGAAGCAAAAGGGAAGAAATTACTACCTGAAGTTGGCCTTTGGCCTTCTTTCAATCTGAATTAGATAATTCTTGTTTCATTTAGGGAATAGAATCCTTCCTTGAAAGTCATTATGAGTTCCCCAAAAGGATTTCTCCAGTGGAACTTGCACAAACAGCAAACAAGCATTCTCTTTGTTGGCCACTATATACATCTTCACGGTACTTTATCACCTGAAGTTGGCATTTGGCGTGCAAGAGCATATAGGAATGGACTTGTGAAAGGAATGAAACACGATAGACATGGGATATATCATGTTTGGTTTGTCTAGGAATAAAAACAGCAATGGGATCAGGTTTCCCCATTTTGGATTCCTCATGTTTGATCTGTTTTGGAGCATGGTAATGAATACAGATGGTGAAATGACTATGCATACCCTTACTGAAATTTTATATTTTAAGCATTAATTCATGTAATTTGGAAAATAATGTCATGTGTCAAATTTGAAACCACGTCGCATTCCAGATTATCCAGATGCTTACGATGCATGGAATGCCCTTAGCCTACCTGATATCTTCCTTGCCTGCTTCGCTAGAGGAAAAACAAACAGGGAGGAGAAGATAACTAGCTATGAATCTTTCTTCTGTCAATGGTTGAACCTTCTTGCCCCTACTTTTACCAGAAGAAGAAGAAGAGAGCCTAATCAGACACTAAACTGCAATTACCCTACTCAGACTCAGGAAAAAATTTGAAGATGAGGTTTTTGAGACATCTGAAGATCAAAGATATGCAGATTCAATGCTTTATTCCATGGTTCTTAAGTTCATGTTCTCTCTCATTTTAATAATATCTTCTTGGTGGTTATTTTACATGTTCTTTATGTTGAGAATGTTTATATGAGTGTAGTTCATCTTCTAAGTTGCTCCCCCCATCCTAAATTCAATGTCTCTTATGGAATTTACCTAACATTAAGGAGGAACAGTTTCTGTTAGCCGAATCGATAGAAATCACAACCTGAAATTGGGAGAGATGCACCTTCAAAAGTTTGGTGGTGTTGAAATTTGTTAAAAACGGGGATTCTGTTTTCGTGAAAGGGGCCATAATTATAAACCCCATCAAAATGAGAGCAGTACCCATGATAGAGGATGAAGTGAATATGAATATTATTGCATTCCGTAAATTGATTTTATTCATCTTCAGTTCATATCCTTTTCTGCACGAATTGGTATCTTCGTGACAGCTCATGTTATTTGTTGTTTAGGACTGTGGAGAAGTAACGACCAATGACGTTGTATCTCTTTTGGACTGTCATGCCCTTGAAGATCTTATGCTACGTCATACTGTGAGCCTTTTTTTTTTTTTTATGTCATACTGTGAGTCTTCAACACTAGCTTTTTCTCATGTGGTGTGGCTTGTTTTAACTTTTGGAGGCTAGATAATTAACTATATTCTAATTAGGGGTGGTTGCAATCCGATTCTATTATCCTTTATTATAGTTACCGACTGGTTCTCTGCAAAAGATGATGAATTTGAACTTTCCCTTTTTTGCCTCTTTCGTTTTCTTTTTCTTTTTCCTTCAAATAAAATGCATAACTGGACAGCAAATGTACGACTGACAACATACTTCATGTTTCCTGTCCTCCTAGTATTATGTGGCATCTATTAGTGATGAACTTTTTGGTTGGTCTAACCTGATGTCTCAATCTAAGCATGTAGCATTCCTTTGACAATGCACATAATGTTTGGATTTATGTATTAGGCAATCTTTGGTATCCCATATAGATAATATAGGAGCACAAGATTGTGATGAGGACTACCAATTGCTTGGACTTCGATTCCAAGTATGACAAGAGAGATAATACAAAATATCCCCATCTTTTCCTCTTCAACCCCAAACCCCACTTTGCTCGGACTTCGTTTCCTAGTATGACAGAGAGATAATACAAAATATCCCCATCTTTTCCTCTTAAACCCCAAACCCCACTGCACCCGCCCCACACCCATTACACAAGACATCAAACTGCAAGGTGTACGTTATACTAGTCCTAATAATATACCAGTGCCTAAAAATAACTGTTTTCAATTTTATGAAGTTCCATTCGACTATTATGAACACACGTGACATTTCATCAAACACTACTTTGGAATTCTTAGTCAACCTACAAAATTCGAAGTCTTTATTTTTGTGAACTAGCTACTTCTGATTCTGGAGTGAATTGTGCTTTAAATATGTAGGGTCCTGGAATTACAAGAAATTTCATCATTTATGCTGCTTACAAGGTAATTGTGGCTGCTTACATGGGTATTTGAACAGTGTTTTTTCTCAAACTGTTTGAAGTGCCCTGTTTCAATTATTGTGTATTTATGGTGCCTGCAGTTACCGATGCTTCGAAAAATATCACTCGATAGATGTGATGCAAGGGATGGAGACTTTGACATTCCAAACGTAAGAACGAGCTTATCTTCTTGGCATATTATTCTAATTTTCTAATTTCACCCATTACCATTGTGTGTGACAAACCTGTGAAACTTCAGGTGAAAGGCGTTATGATTTTATGTTGCAGAAAATCTGTGTTTCAATATCTCCTTGGTATAATCTGCGGGCTTTTGAAGCTCATATTCTTGTATCTTGTGGTCTGGATAGAACTGGGTTAGGATAGAAAATGATTAGTTCTACAGTTATTTAGGCTTTTAGAGTTGCTAGTCTACAGAAGAAGTATTAATCCATGGACAACTAGAATTGTTTCTGTTAAGAAACAAGTATAACATTACTAACTTGATGCAGTAACGTAGATTTTTTTATGAGTTGCAGTAAAAATTCTTGTTTATCCAGGCATTTATAGTGAATCGTTATCTTACTGATATTACGAACCTGCTTCAGTGTGATGACAGGTACTTCTTAAGTAGTGTGAAGATTGCTAGATGTAAGCTTCAACCCTGCACCTTCGACCTTCATAATCTGGATGGCCAGAGAACCCCAGTGCATAAAGAAACTCTGATATTGGAGTGGAACAGTGAAAAACTCACGAGAACTGTGGTGAAGGAAAGACTTTAACGTTCGCACTTGAAACTATAGAAACTTCATTGGATTCAGATATACCATTAATGGAAACACTGTGAAGCATGTGGAATGCAAAATGCGTTACTTTACATTATTTCGACTCCTGACTCTCAAAGCATGTTAGATATATACGTGGTCTGTAATAGATAATGTTAGGTCTTATAGTAACATGAAACTGCTTTCTTGCAACCTGTATGTCATGTACAGTAAACTTGCAAAAAGAGTTAAAATTGTTGTTTGTTGCTGAATAACATTATGATTTTTTACAAGGGGTTGCTGTTACTTTGGTGGCTTTACTCAGGGTGTTCAAAAAATCCAGAAACCCACTTGACTTCAATGGTTTTCAATTCTCAAGTTAAACTGCCTGCTTGGTTTATCAGGTAAAATAGTCATGTGCTGAGGTGTTCTCTTGTATTGCTTTCATTTAGCACGTGTTTGGTTTTAACTAAAAAAATTGATTAAAATTGAAGTTAAAGTNTTTTTCTTATCTTATTAGGCACGAGAATCTCAAGCCTCAACACCCCCCTAGGAGCGAGTGCGAAGATGCTACGCATCAATCGGTGCGACTACTCTTCTAAAGCTATAGCTTGAGGTTAAAACCCCCCCCCAACACACATACATAAGGCTGGAAAAAGTAAATGCAATCAATGAAGGTGAAAGAACCAAACGAGTGTTATTTGTAAGTTTACATTTAACAAAGATGAGAGAAAACTACTGTTTGGTATCAATGCACGTGACCCATCCATATCCATCTTCTAGAACACAGAATCCAAATAGTAGTTGTCACCTTTGCTCAAAGGCTCGTTCAATAAGCAATGTCAAAAGCCAAAATAATTAAGTTAATTGCATTAATTTGCTTGACCTTCTAGATGGCAAATATCAAACCCTTCACCTATTTTCTTCTCTTCCATAGTCAATGTTCGGTCTAGAATCTAAAATAATATTGAAAATCTTTCTTCAATTTATATAACCATATCGATCCTTGTTCGGGGCGTTCGATAACATCGCCATCTATCATCTCTTCACTGCGACTAAGCTACTTTGGCCCATCAAATGGCATAGCAACATCGTCCAGATTGACTCCCTCTTACTCTGATCTATGCTTTGCTTGTGAATCTCACCCTCCCTGGTGGACCACTAAAATATAATATAAAAATTAAACGGGAATTTAGCTATTCAATGATTTAATAACTAATAGGATTTTCAGTGTGGTCAAAATCAGCTATTCCCTTGAGTGGCAATTTACATTATTGTAACTTTAAGGAATAGAATAAATCATTGCTTCCATATAAAGCAAAGATGTAGTGTAGGACACCCTCTTATCCTTTACTACATCAATGTCCAACCTTATCATCAAAGTGCTCATAAGCATCGGTATCTATCTATGGCTCCAAAAAAATTGAATTGACGGTTGAGGAGAGGACTGCAAATTTCATATCTTGATGCAGTATGCAATAGAAAGAAACTGAAATGTCATGTATTACAGCGTTCATTTTATTTTCGTAACTAACAATTTTTAAAATAATAATACATTGCATGATAGATTCAATAAATAAACTTCATATCTTTGTCGGATGTTAAACACTGATTTAGATGACATTAACTGTCCAAATTATGGAGTTTAGAGCATATCCAAAAGACGCTATTTATAAAGATAATCTTATGCTTAATAATAAGCATCTTTAAAGTTTGACATTAATTTTTTTTTAATACAAAACAGATATTATACTTGTTCAATTTTATTGATGAGAAGATGAGAGATAGAAAGTGAGTAAATTGCTTGGAAAATAAAAATCACATATCGTTGAAGAAAATATTTTCCTTGTTTTCAAGGAAAATATGGTCCCGTAATCAAAAGTTGGAAAATATTTTTCGTAAAAAAATTTGTAAATCAAATGGCACTGTTAGGAATATTGAGCCTAACTCCACTTAATAAAACCTGCTTATTATGGGAGGATTGCCCTCACCTTATTAAGTGGATCATTTATATTTTCTCAAGTAATGTGAGATTTTAATACGCCCCCTCACGCACAGCGTGGACTATGCCAAACAACTGTGAACAAATCAATATTGGGTGGTACCCAATATTTTATAATTGGGCTTAGATCTGATACCATGTTAGTAATATTGAGCCTAACTCCATCTAATATAACCAGCTTATTAGGGAAGGATTGCGTTCACGTTATTAAGTGAATCATTTATATTTTTCCAAGTAACATGGAATTCTAATAGGCACAAAAATAAGAAATTAAGTGGAAAAAATACATTTTTCATGAAAAATATAGCCATTAATAAAAATATAATTGTCATTCAATTCTTTCCCATCTTCAGGGATTACAGCCCATTATTTACGAGGATCATGGAAATGGAAGTTTCTTTGACTGTTCAAGTTATTGCCAACTCGGGTTGCACTTCTTGATTACAAAAATCGTCCTCTTATTTATTTATTTTTAAATTTTTTTCCCTGCCACCCTTCATATACCACCTCGCGCTCGATCCTCTCCCATTTCTGCGCTCCCTCTCTGCTGCTCTCTCTCTCTCTCTCAAATTTTTTTTTCCAGACCATTTCGTTCACTATATTCAGCGGGCTGAGTCTTGTAATACATACATTCTTGATCACTCTTTCACTTGACACCGAGATATATAGAGATAAAGAAAAGATTCAGTATTGTTGATTACCAGGTTATCCACACAAATGGCCTCAGCTTTGACTGGTGATGATCTGGCAATATCAACCACGAGCAGGCGGAGCTGGTCATCGCCTGGAAGCAAAAGGAGTTTCCGGGAGGTGTGGCAGCCGCCGCCTGACGTGTTCGGCCGCAGGGGTGGTGGCGAGGACTACGACGACGAGGACGCGGTTCGGTGGGCCGCCCTTGAGAGGCTACCCACCTACGACAGGCTGAAGAAAGTCGTGTTAACAAAAGAGCAGGAAGATGGGAGAGTAAAAGCAGATGAAGTTGATGTAACCAAGCTTAACATGGATCGCAAGAAGCAGTTAATGGATAGTATACTCAGAGCTGTCGAAGAGGATAACGAAATGTTTCTTACTAGATTAAGGGACCGCATTGACAGGTGATCAAGATCTTTTATGTACTATTACACTTTCATGTGTATTAAGATTTTAGATGAGGTAGCTCGACTGTCGCCAATTTATAATTGTGGATAAGAAATGAATCCGATCTGTGCATGTGAGAGGCTATGTTCAAGACTAAATTTTAATAAACGAGCTTGCTAGTCTGACATCCATGTTTAATTTTATTTTTAGACTTTTTGATTTGAGTTGTGGTGGTTTTATGGTGATGATGATGCAGTGTGGGGATTGAGACAGCAAAAATTGAAATAAGGTATGAACATTTGTCAGTAGAAGGGGATGTACATGTTGGGAGTAGAGCATTACCCACTTTGATTAATTCAACCATGAACGCAATTGAGGTAATTTCTACTTCATCTCACTTGTTAAAAATACAATTTTTTTTATTTTCATTTTTACCCGTTTAGTAAATGTGATATCCATGAATTATTTATTCCGAGTTTCATTGTTAATAAAAAAATTTATTTTTTGTCAATGTCCATGGATCCATTCTTGACATTTAATGATGTTCTTATCTGGTTCATTTATGTTACTGATTGAAGAAATAAGGATGGTGAATTCTCATGTCTGATTCGGTTTGTAATGGATGACAGAGAATTTTGGGACTAATACGGCTCGCCCCTTCTAAGAAGAGAAAAATTCAAATACTTGAAGATGTCAACGGCATTGTTAAACCATCGAGGTATTATGTGGGGTCTCAGAATCGCGATTCTACTTTCAATTATCATGTGGGATGTCGTTAACTTGTTGGTTTTTCAGGATGACACTGCTTTTGGGCCCACCAGGTGCAGGAAAAACAACATTCTTGCTTGCACTTGCTGGAAAGCTTGGTAGAAATCTAAAGGTATGTTTTAGATATATTTGATGCAATGTCATTTGATGGTCCTTTTCTCTTCCTATTAATGATGTGGAATTTTAAACAGCAATCTGGGAAAATTACCTACTGTGGACATGAATTGCATGAATTCGTACCTCAAAAGACATGTGCTTATATCAGTCAACATGATCTTCATCATGGAGAAATGACAGTGAGGGAGACATTAGATTTCTCAGGTCGTTGTTTGGGGGTCGGTGCAAGATATGAATTGTTGGCAGAACTTTCAAGGCGTGAGAAAGCAGCAGGAATTAAACCCGACCCTGAACTTGATGCATTTATGAAAGCCATATCAATATCTGGCCAAAAAAACAGTCTGGTTACAGACTATGTTCTCAAGGTTTCTTCGTTTCTAATTCTCGTTTCTAACAGGCAAGTTGAGTTCAAGAAAATCTTACCCCCTACTAACTTTATGACAGATACTTGGATTAGATATTTGTGCGAATATCATGGTTGGTGATGATATGAGAAGAGGTATTTCAGGAGGACAAAAGAAACGTGTGACTACTGGTATGTTCTTGAGATATCGGGGGTAACTTTTTAGTGGTGTTTATTTTTAGTTTCTAGGGTCTTAAGTTGAAGTTGAAATTTCAATCCAAGATTCATTATCAAATGAAAAGAGACTCTTATCGATGAATCTAGACGGAGTAACCAGTACAATATTTCATCCTGTTCAGTGCTGTCAGTACAAAGGTTTACGTCTTCCAGGAATATGCAATTGTCATTCTTCTGCTTCATATCTTAACACTGATCATTATTACTGAACAACACTGTGCTCTAATTGATGCAGGGGAAATGTTGGTCGGGCCAGCTAGAGCTCTTTTCATGGATGAAATATCAACTGGACTGGACAGTTCCACCACTTATCAGATTGTCAAGTACATGAGGCAAATGGTTCACGTTATGGATGTCACGATGATAATTGCTTTACTTCAACCCGCTCCAGAGACCTATGATCTTTTTGATGACATTATCTTGCTATCAGAAAGTCAAATTATCTACCAAGGTCCACGAGAAAACGTTCTTGAG